ATTCAGGGTGACGCGTTGAAACACAAGTTTTTGACATATTCATTCAATAGTTGTGCGTGTGTATATATATATAAATATATATATTATAACTCAATAACGAGGCAACTTCGAAATTTTTTCTTATAATATTATTATATTCTATTTTATAGAGCTTTATAACTACCATAAGAGATTATGGATTACATCAAGATCATGGTAGAAAAGATGTTAATTTCAACATATCTCCAGTGAGTATAACTTGTTATTTATTAGCTGTAATAATAGATTTGAAACAATAATAAGTAAATTTATTTCATCTTCATAGTATTTGTTTCTTTATTTAAGACAGAAAAAAGCGAACATTAAATATCTTTTTCAGTTTTAGCATTAAATACCTCTTTGGTCGTATTTTTATGCTGCCCCTATAGATTTTTATGCTTTATAGCTATTTTAATAATTAAAATTCATCAAAAATCTGCAATTATGAGAATAATAGTTTATTAAAGCTTCTAAAGTTTAATCCTTAATATACAAGTAGATATTGTGTTTTGGAAAGGTAGAAGAAGAAAAAGTAAGGTCAAAATTATCAAAATATTTTAAAATGTACACTGTTTCAGGAGCTGGTAATTTTTCAAAACAATTTAGTGAGGAATTTTAAAAAATTAACAATAAAGTATGGTTTTGTGAGATAAAATTTGGTCAATATGATAAAATTGATAATTTTATCGTAATGCAAGGCATAAAAGCCTTTTATTAGGTTAAATTTACTTTTTTCTTTTGTATATTTTACTAAATGCGTGATAGTAAGAACTATAATTTCAAAAATCAAAATTTTCAGTATATCTTTGCCATATTAACGGAAAAATTACCAAATGAATAGTTTTTATTAATCAGAATTGTGTTTTTTTTAAACCAGAAATCTCATTGATAATGAAAAAGCGTAATTCCTAAAATTGTAGAAAGGAAAAGTCGACATGTTTTGATAATCATTACTATAATAGTCATTACCATACAGTGAGGAAATTTTATCAGAATTTTCTTTCTTGTGTTAATAATTTTAATTCAAATGAATTAAATATTACTATGAAGATGAAAGCAACAATCTTTTAAAGTTTTAAAGATAGTGCTTAAATATTCTTAATTTCATCTAAAGTCATTAATGTTCATGTTATTATTAAACTTCTATATTTCTTCTAAATTTGGTACCTTGTTAATTAGAGAAAATCTATTTAAGACAACTTTCCTTATCAAAGAAAAGCTTTGATTTTTGGCTTTTCAATGTCTGTTCTTTATTTTTACATTTATTTTGCAAAATAAAATTTAAAAAAAGTTTTGAGTTTAAATTTAAAGATAGTTTGCGTGATATGCTTCAAAATTTATTAATAATTCAAATATAATTATATTCATTATAATAATAAATAATTTATGGGAAAACGTTCAGTTCAATCATACATTTTTAAAAGCTAAAAAAGACGTTTTTTCCTTAAAGAAAAAGCAGATTTTTTTTAATAAAAAAATGTATTTTTTGAAAATTACATTTCTTAAAAAAAATATACAAAGGACAGGTCTATTCTAAAAAGATACATTTTTATTTGTCTATTGTAGGTAGGTTGGATATCATGGAACATGGCTATTAATTCTCTACATTTAGGCTTAACATTAGTATCATACGATGGATATCCATTTGAAACTTCTCCTACCCGTTTTTGGGACTTGGTGGATAAATTTGGCATCACATCGTCTTATATTTGGTCAAGCATTGTAGAGACTATGTTATTGAAAGACCATGGACCGAGTAATGAACTTTGTTTTTATTTTAGCACGTTTCACTTTTTGTGTAAAATTATTGGAAAAATACTAAGCATTAAATGTATCGTCCCAAAGCAATTAGTAATAATGCTAATAATTAATAATAGTTATAATTAATAATAATTAATAAGAATTAATGGTTATATTAATTTTCATTAATTACATAAATTAAATTAATAATAATTAGATATTGATAATTAATTAAATTAATAATTAATTATTGGTCATTAATTAAACTAATAATAATATAATTATTGGTCATTAATTAAATTAATAATAATTAATTATTGATAATTAATTAAATTATTAATAATTATTGTATTAAAATAACATTAATTACCATTAATTATGATAGTAACAATAATTAATAGTTTATTAATGAAGTAAATAGTTATAACGTTATAATGTAAAAGCTTAATTAGCTTTCAAAAATTGTAAAAGTGAAAAGTCGAAATAATTTGAAAATAGGCGTACGTTCTCGATACTCACCATATTTAAATCTGCTTATTTTGGGTGGGTCTTAAGAATGTGTGTTTATTATCGCTTATTTGTAGTGAAACTTTTACACAATCAAGTAAATGCTAAAACATTTTTATAATAAAGTGGTATGAGTCTTAGGTATTATTTAACTAAATCTTTTAAAATTTAAGAATTAAAAAATTGTCTTCTTCAACAAACTTAAATTTTTTTTTATCTGTACTTGTCAAAGAAATACCTTGACCAGCTTTTAAAAAATCGCAATTTTAAAGTAATATAATATTAAACGACTGACAAATTCAGTAAGTAAAAGTGAAAAAAAAATCACATCTAAAATGTGAAGAAAACAAGATACGATAAAGTTAGCGAGTTTTTTTCATAAAATTCACTTTGTGTAAATAAGAAAAAAAATTACAGCCGAGAGCTTTAATGTACTATTTGGCGAGTGAGAAGTATTTAATAACTTTTTACATCCGTATTTCTTTTCTGATTGAGAAAGCAAATTTTTATTATGTAAATTTACATATGTAATTTTAAAATATTAAACTTATTTCAATTTATAGCCTCTAAACATTCGTTGAAGAATTTAAGACATCTTATGACAATGGGAAGCCCAGCAAAGCTTGAAGTTTATGATTTTCTTGCACAGAAAATTAAGCCAGGATTATTTTTCAATTCAGTGTATGGTAAGAATTAAAAAAAATATGTTTTTATTTCGTATGAAAATTTAAAAATAAGAAACACAATTATTCAATTAGACATAAAATATTTAAGAGATTATAATAATCTATAGTATAAACCAATGATTTAGCACATTGAAAATTTTAGTGTGTCTTGGCACTAAAAATAGTGGCAGCTACCTTACACTGAAAATGGTTATATGAAACAAAGGATAGTTAAAGGAATAATTCCAAGAAACTGAAACGCAAAGATAATCTTGATTAAAAGTTTTATTGGCTTCAAAAAATACAAAGATGGTAATAAAACTCGACAAGTTACAAGCACTCAATAATAGGTACCCATTCTCAAGACTTGCCAGATATGAATGAAGAAAACAAAGAGGGATTTTGAACCATAAAAGTTAGTTTCCAACAAAGAAAGGGAAAATAAAGGTGGAAAACAAAACTAGAAGAGCCCCTGTAACCAAGAGAGACAAATCAGGGCGAAATGTATTTACATGCGTTATGGAGAGGAACTCATGTCGTTAACAAGGGAATCGGCATTCAAATGAATGTAAAAAGATTCCAGGGCATCAAGATGAGTTGGTCATAATAGCTTTTTTTGATGCTATGGAATTAATCAACTTCACAGCTTAATTGAGCATAATTCGGCAAATACAAATTGGAATTCATTTTCCCCCCAATAGTAGATGATAATGCAGATTGTTCGCAACATATTGTAAATTATATTGCTATGTAAATTATAAACTTAAATTTGAAACAAAATTTCCGTGTCAGCCAACCAAAGGCGTATGAAAAATGTTAAAATAGTACAGGAAAAAAGGCATATTAAATTTGATTAGAGTGACAGTACTTTGAATGCTTTTAGTCACTCCCTAAATTTTCTCTTCCAAAATAAACCTGCTTTGATGTTCGTGACATAGAACAATATTTCGTTTATTTATTGTAACATCTAAGGTTCGACAGTTTATAATAAAAGCCAACATTTTAATTTATATTTCTGATACTTCACTTAAATATGATTTTTCCAACTGTTAATTTTACGAACCATTAAACTTTGAGGTTCATAAAAATTTAGGATTAACAAATTTTCTTAAAAAGTTGATTTGATCTTAGTTTAGAATCATACTGTAAATTTTTCCACACTCGCCAGACAAGGTTCCACAGATTTTTTTGAGATATTACTGGCGAGGTCTTAAAACACTAAATTCTGTCTCAAACTGCGGAGTCAACATATTACCGTGACTGGAGGTCTGATATCTGGAGATCTAGCAGGCCATTCCACCGAACCACCTACAACCTCTATCTTTTTCCTCAAGGATTTCAAACCCTGCAATTCCAAGCAATTCCAATTTTTGCTTGTGTCTTTTGCATTTTTAAACCTTTTGTTTGTATGAGGCACAAGTAGCGAAACTAAAAGAGACGACTTAGGAATGAATTGAAAAATTGCGTATTGCAGTGATTTTTTAAAAAACTTTGACATAATAATAGACTTTTCTTTAACTTAGAATTCACTATGCCTGGCTCTGGTTGATTCCTCCTTTTCATTGAAATTTAATCATTATGTCGTTTGATTTACACGAAATAATGTTTTTCTTATAATTTTACTGTTATAATTTTTTTATGACAACATACTTTAAAAATGATTTTATGAAGTTATTTAGATAGTAGTATTTGTATAAATAATGGACAGTTTCTACGTGATTTGTTTTTAGGTTGTACCGAAGTATTTGGTCAACTGACTGGGTGTGATTTTAATCTTCCAGTATATAGAGGTGAATTGCAAGCTCCATCTTTGGCAATGGATTTGAAAGTTTTGAATGAAAAAGGTAAAATAATAAATGTTGCCAATTTTTGTAAATTTTGTGTTAAAAGTTTAGAGCAGTTTAACTTTAATCCATTTTGGTGAGCACATTTATCATAACAATTACGGAATCAGAATTTTTAATGGAATATTGTATCGGTTTCTTGTAGGTGATTTTTGTAAATTTTGTGTTAAAAGTTTAGAGCAGTTTAACATTAACCTATTTTGTTGAGCACATTTATCATAACAATGACGGAATCGGAATTTTCAATGGAATATTGTATCGGTTTCTTGTAGGTGATTTTTGTAAATTTTGTGTTGAAAGTTTAAAGCAGTTTAACATTAACCTATTTTGTTGAGCACATTTATCATAACAATGACGGAATCGGTATTTTCAATGGAATATTGTATCGGTTTCTTGTAGGTGATTTTTGTAAATTTTGTGTTGAAAGTTTAGAGCAGTTTAACGTTAACCTATTTTGTTGAGCACATTTATCATAACAATGACGGAATCGGAATTTTTAATCGGTTTCTTGTAGGTGATTTTTGCAAATTTTGTGTTGAAAGTTTAGAGCAGTTTACCATTAACCTATTTTGTTGAGCACATTTATCATAACAATGACGGAATCGGAATTTTTAATGGAATATTGTATCGGTTTCTTGTAGGTGATTTTTGCAAATTTTGTGTTGAAAGTTTAGAGCAGTTTAACATTAACCTATTTTGTTGAGCATATTTATCATAACAATGACGGAATCGGAATTTTTAATGGAATATTGTATCGGTTTCTTGTTGGTGATTTTTGTAAATTTTGTGTTGAAAGTTTAGAGCAGTTTAACATTAACCTATTTTGTTGAGCACATTTATCATAACAATGATGGAATCGGAATTTTTAATGGAATATTATATTGGATTTTTTATAGGTGAATCAGTAGTAGGTGAAAGGGGAGAAGTTGTAATTTCAAACCCTTATCCAGCGATGCCCATAGCTGCAATAAATCACAAAGGCGAATCTGTTGTGACAGAAACATATCTGACACAATATCCAGGTAATGATTAATTAAGATTATTATTTTAGTTATTACGGTTATCATTATGATTTGTAATCAAATAGCTGAATAATTGATTCTCATTTAATACTCTTCTTATTCAAAATTCAGCACTGCGTAAATCTTTAAGATTAGATAATTCTGAAGAATCGGAAGTCAGAATAAAGGTCAAAAGATAAATAGATTTCACCTTGTGATAACACACAAACGCAACAGTTTGATTGATAACAAATTATGAAAACAACATTGTTTTAAGTTAAAAATTTTAAAAGGGTAACAATGTAATAAAAATGCAGCAATTTTGTCTCAGAATTTTAGTTTGTAAAGACATAAATAATATCACTCATAATTTTTGATCCGAATTTTTCAGAAATGTAAACATTTTATAATCATAGTTTCATTTTCATAGTAAATCAAAGGAAAATGTTGTATTGAAAAATTATGCAGTTAAAAAAATCGGAGTTTATAATAAAAAACCTAAAATGACCAACTCTGGACTTTTTTACTTTGATTTTAAGCAGAGTGATTTTTTTTCAGGAGCAAAATTTAGGCATATTTAAGTACAAAAAGGAAACAAAAATATGATTTAGTCATCTATGTATAATTTCTTTTTTCCCCCTTAATATTTTAAATGGCCACGACATGATTCATAAATAATATTACTATTTTGAAAATTAGGTTTATATTAAATGCAATAGATTTTATATTTATTTTATAACCGTCTTTAAACAGCCGACCCAATTTTGGGTTTATGTCTACTATTGTTCAACTCCGTAGCCTTGTAATTTTGAACCCCATCCAAAAGACAAGGAAACTCAAATTATGAAAAAGAATTATGTTAGTTTTACCAGGTGACTGTATTTTTCAATAGCTTTATTCATTTTACCCAACAAATAATGTGTTTGTGATTTATATGCAAAGTTCCTTTAAGTAAATGAAATGTAATGTTTTTATTTTTCTGCAGGTCATTGGTGTGTTGGTGACGATGCATGGATCAATCCAAACACAAAAGGAATGATTATCTATGGACGGAGGTAATATAATACAATGTTTGAAAGATTTTATTATAGATATGGCTTAGTAAAGTAATTAATATTTCAGACTATGGTAAAGCCGCCACATATTGCATTTTATCTGCTTTCAGCAAGCTCTGTACAAGCGCAGTGATTATCACATCGTTATATTTGCAAAAGCTAGTTGTGCAACCCATGCAATTAGGTACTTGCATCTAGAGAAGAAGATGATCACTGATACGCAGACACATGATCCATGAACTCAGCTGCAGCTGATCGTTTATAAACAGGATGTCGAGCTAAGTTTCTCCATACAAGTTATAATGTTAATAAACGTGAATTTAATTAAATACAAAACTGTATCGCACGTCGATTTTGTTAAAAAATTGCAATTTTTTCAGGTCTACGTCTTTTATTAAACTTAGAGTCATCATTTATTTAAGTATTTTATTGTAATAGTGATATATTTTTGTTTTGTGCACCTGGCAGCTTCCATGCATAATTTGTTTGTTCTAACTAACTTCGTCTCTGTCTTTGTGTTAAGTAAGAAATATATAGTGAAATAATGTTTGGGAAAGAATGTAGAACGTGTCACTGTGATGATTGGTATTTGGCGAGTTTGGCTTGCTTGAAATAGAACGGAAAGAATAGTTGCTGACGTAAGCAAATGCCACATTTCATAAACCAATTAGGATCGATATACTCACACTACGTCACTCGCAGGTAACCCTTTGTAGTTTACATGGGTTTTGTAGTTTTCTATAAATTTGTTTTTTTCTTTTAGCGCAAAAAATTTGTAAAAGCATTTCATGGTAATGGTTTAGTATTATATGGACAAATGTCCATACTTTTTAAAATGAAAACATCCAATGGTATATGTTATGATTTCTTTAATAATTTGTAGGGAAGAAAATTTGATATATTTATAAATTAGCTTAGTTAGTTTATTCATATTTTAAATTTAACATTTCATTCTGATTTTCCAGTGACGAAACAATGAATCCAAAAGGAGCAAGATTCAACTGCTCTGAAATTTATTTTGCACGTAAGTAAAATGGTCTGAATGTTAAAGAGCGTCACTTTATTATTAAAATATTTAGTTCGCTTTTTAGATATTTCGTATGGCCAGTCTCTTAAACGAAAATACAGTAACCAATATTTACTAAATTTAAAATTAAAACTGTGGTCTTATAATATATTGAACTATCTTAAATTATTATTTTATCCCTTTTCTTTTGAGGTCATCCCAACATGCGGACGACCTTACTTAACTGTGTAAGCATTTTACGGTTCGATAGGCGGCGCTGCTAAAATTTTCAGTCCACAATTTTCCATAAAATATACTGCTTTAAAGAAACTATCAATGGACAACTAATCTTTTTTTCATTTTGTGATGTCGTGAAGTTAATTGTTAATAGAGCTTACATCCAAATTTGCCTGATCTTCATCCAAAATCTAAACAAATGCTGATTTTAAAATCTGCTTGTTCCTCTCCAATTTGGACTTGTTATGTAATAGAACCGGTTTAATCTCTCATCGGTGATCTCTGCTAAATTGAAAATAAAACAGTTAAGAGATTCCGACCTTCTGAATTGATGAGTAAGCTAATGAAACTAATTGTTTTATTATTGGTTATTAATGTGACAAAAAGAAATATAGTTACAAATCTTCAATTAATAAAAAGCACTTTTTTTTTTTTATTCAAAAATGACTTATTCGTAATCTATTTTGAATTTGTTATGTGTTGGTTTACTGATAAATAAATAAAGGATTTTGGCAATAATTAAGTGATTTCTTTAATAGCTTAGAAAGGTTGTCACAAAAGAAATTTTTTAATTTCTTGCTTTTACAAAAAATAAATTAGAGAAAGCTTTTATTTCTCTTTAAGTAAATATTCATTTGTTTATGAATTTAATATATATGCTTGCCATAAGCTTATAAAATCAATTAATAATGAATTCTAAAGCAGTATAATTGTATTCTATTATTCAAAATGTATTGGTGTCAAATTACTAAATTATTGCAAGAGCAGTAAATAAATTAAAAAAAAGAAAAACTGCGTTGTCTCAATTACTAGAAGCTTGGCCAAAATCTTAGCTCAATCTCAATTACTAGAAGCTACCAAAAATCTCAGTGGTGCCACCTGTTGCTTTGTAAAGTAATTACACAAATAAGTAAGGCAAATCGTTTATTGGGACGATACCGTTCTTCATCCTATCTACGTCCTTTAAATCAATATAAACTTTAATACTGGAATATATTTAATGATATTTTAAAGATCAATCTATAAAATATATGTTATTTGAAAGTTAAGGATAATTTAAGCTGTTTTTTGTAAAGGAAACAAATCCCTAGTTTTATACGTAACTAAGACTAATATATGTCTAGAAAAAATTTGAGAAACTTGACCATATTCGAGGAATACCTCTCATTTTAAAATTTGATTTTCAAAAATGTGATAACAGATAGGAACAAAACCAATAGTTCATATTACTTTTCAGTTTTTCAAATATTTGCAGTAAATTCAAAAGTTCTCTCTACTGCTTTTTTATTTATTGCTAAAAAAATGAAAGTTATTGGTTGTTGTATGCAAGAAGCTGCTAGTCAAACTTAAATTATGCTTTATGTGCTTAAATTGTTCTTAACTTTAGTTCGCTTTAAACGACTATAAATATGGGAGTTATATTTAAATTAAAATAATGTATAAACAAGAAAAGGTTAATGGGTTCTTTGTGTTCCTAAAAGTTATGAAAATTGGGCATTTTTATAGTTTACTCGTTAATGTAATTATTACTTTCCTAAATACCATAGGCACTATGCATGAAACATGAAACCGGTCTTCATCATGAAGCCAGGGATGTTTTTTAAATGGGTTTAAAGCTATTTATTTTCTTTTAAATAAAGTATCCCCTTAATTATTAATCGAAAAAATTTTAACTACTATTATGAAAATGATTTGTAGTAATTAAATGCTGATATGGAACAACCACAGACCTCAGGAAATACACTAAACATATAATGATATCCAGTGCTCATCTAAAAAAAAATAACTTAAATCATTGTCTAATTACATATTTAATATCTCCTGTTGGAACAATTAAATTTTCAATAAATCAGATACAATGGCATTTTAGTGTACAACTCCAAAAAATTGCAAAATATTAGCCTCGATGTGATTTTCCTAACTACGCAACTAGCTTAATCACAGCAGCTCAGGTTGTCTCATTGAAGAAAACTAGTCGTCGGTATGTAATATGCTCTATGGATTCGTCTTTAACAGCGTATACAACCATTGTTAACATGACTAACTATATACTATGTCAATGAATTCGTCTATAGCAAAATATACAACCATTGTTAACATGGCTAACTATATATGTCAATGAATTCATCGATAGCAAAGTATACAACCATTACTAACAAAACTCACTTAGTTTTGAAATATTAAGAGTTACAACTGAAATGATATTAACGTCTCGCAAGTATTCATACTTGTTTACAGTGAAAAATTAGAAGTAAAAATGCAAAATTGATGTCTCTTTGCACAGGAACTTTGTATGAACATGATTTAACACACGATTAAGGGGGTGATTTCTTAACTTCAAAAATTATATTAGACCGTCAAAAGGCAGCACTTGCTGTCAATAACTTACAAAATAATAGAGGTTGCCCAATTCACTAGCTGGCCGAAAATAATAACTTTTCCCCTTATGGCTCACTATATAATTTTATAAATAAAAAGAATATTGAAAACTTGTACATTTTTTTCTCCAAACGATAAACTGATAGCAGTGAGGGCTCAGGGCCTAGATCGTTTGCCTTCCAATGAGGTAAACCGGGTTCGAATCCCAGCGATAACTGGTCGATACGAATTCCGCATGTGGCTTGCACCGACCAGAGTGCTGGCGTACAATATCCTCAGTTGTAGACGTAGGCTAACCGTATGAGATTTACGTGGTTTTTCTCCCCGTGTAACGCAAATGTGGGTTAATTCCATCAAAAATCCTCCACGATGGCAAATTTCTCTCAATACTTGGTCCAGTAGTTTCCTTGTCTTCTGGGTGGGGTTCAAAATTACAAGGCTACGGAATTGAACATTAGTAGTCGTAAACCCAAAAAATTGGATCGGCTATTCAAGGACGGTTATGAAATAAAATGATAAACTGATATTTTAAAACTCCCAAGATTTCATTTATTTAACGTCACTTTATAAAGAAGTAAATGCTTTTTCTTTCTTTAGTTGAAGGCTTTCCAGGTCTTATGGATTATGTATGCGCATCTCAGTACAATTCAAGTTTAGATGAACGTGTAGTTTTGTTTGTCAAAATGCTTCCAAAACATCATTTGACTGCCGATGTTATACAGAAAATCAAACAAACCATTGAAGAAGTACTGACTTTTGAGCACGTTCCTGAAATTATCATGGAAGCACCAGATATACCAGTAAGAGAAAATAATATATTATGTAAAGTTTTTAAAATATTACGTCAATTTTTAAGTACTTCGTCATACTTAGTATTTTAACCATTTATAATCGAACGAAAGCAATGATATCAAATAGAAAGAAAATACGATCGAAAGCAAATACGATCGAAAAATAAATTTTTTGAATAAACATAAATATTTTTGTTTACTAGGAATTTTCATTAGATGCCTCAATTAAAGCATCTATGTAATTTATGTAAGTCTAAAATGAGCTAAATAATATAGTTTGCCACGAATAGATAAAAAAATATTTACATTATAAGTGCTATGATAACCTATTTACGACATTCTTTAATAATTATTGATAAAACAGTAATAGAAAGATACTAATCAGATATTATGAGTGTATTAAATTTTGCTCTACAAAGTGCTAATTTCAAACAGTTTTATACGTCATGCTTCGGATATTTCGTAATGACCGCACTTAATATAAATTTTTAAAATCCTTGTTAAAAATGAAGTAAAAAGAATGTATGCACATAGCGGGTCCAAATTAATATTTAAATGAGAAAAAAAGGAAACATTACCAAAATTCTTACGAATCACTACTGAGGGAGGCGAAACTAAGAACATGAAATATGTTTGATTGCTGGAGGAATTGAAAGACTTCTATTCTACCGTGCAATTGAGAAATCAACGTAAGTGACAAAAATCAAAAATGGAGATTTTTGTATATTTGGCATCTTTGTAAGGCCAACTACATATTGCAAAAATTTTCTTTTCAAAATTAAATTTTATTTTATCAGTTTTTGACATTCGATTTTAGCGTTCATAGTATTCGCAATAGAAGGAAAATAGTTGTCAAATCACTGTACTCAGCATCAATCGTAAAACACACCACGTTTTATTAGGAAAACAAATTGGTATGAATGTTTCCTACACAGCTTTCTTTATTTAGTGATTCAACAGATCTTATAAGTACATACAATATCTTTGTTTCATTGTCGTTTAAATATCAACCTGTGACCCCTGGTGGGAATACTTTTTGATTCTATTTATGACAAATAAAATAAAAATATACAAATTAAAAATGATTATGAAACACCCTGTATTTTGCATTCTAACAGTATTTTTTTTTTAATTTTCTTTCAGTATAACATGACAGGAAAGAAGCTTAATGGATTAGTGAAGAAATTAATCAACAAACGAGAAGTTTTGAATTCAGAAGTTGTCATCAATCCAAAGTCTGTAGAATTTTTCAAGGCAGTAGAGCTTGGAGATTTCTGATCATTTAATCAAAATCTTTGATTTTTAAATAACTTTTTCGAAAAATGACATTAAACTCATGACCTAAATTTACTCAAAAGAAAACGGAGTGAAATATGAAAAACGATTTATTTTTATTATTGGTGAACTAATAGCTTTTCAGTTATCTCTTCATACCATGTGCTATTTCAAAAGTGTTGTACAGAGCTTAAAAAATATTTTTATGCTGTCAAAATCTGTGATAATAGATGCACCAAAAGTAAGTGATGAAACCATGAAAGGTAGTAAAAGAAATTGCTCCAACAATGAAATAGTCGATTAAATTCTTTAAATTTAAAAATTTTGTTTTACGAGATTATTTGTTTTTCATACATAGAATGCTCATTTTATGCTTTAAATTTATCTCGGACTTTGTGAAATCGGAATCTTCACTCAAAGCGTTCTGATGATCTGACTTTATTTATAATTTAAATAGACATATGGTTCATCATAAATGTATATTTTAATCATTTGTGTAATTGTATTTTATACTATTTAATAAATAAATTATTATGATTTGTCAGCAAATTATTTTGAATTACATTTCAAATTGCTTGTTATAGTGCTGTATGTTTTAAAAAAACAAAACGAAATTGTAGTGAATTAAAAAAAAGGTACTTTTACACATATAAAGCCTTTAAGTTATATTATTCTTCCTTTTATAAGTCTCAAATATTCTGGAAAATACTTATTCTTTTCAAAAATGTATTTTTTTGTAAATAAATTAAATGTCCCATTCAGAAAACGAACATATTAAAATTAAATTTAGCCGAAGCATTGCTCGTATTTTTAAAGAATTTTTCCATTTTCACTTAAGAATTTTGAGTTTATTCGATTAACGAAAACTAAACCAACTGTATTTTGCTTAAAGATACTTCTTCATGGTAAAAAAAATTCTGGTTAAACAGCGGTACTGAATGGTAGTGAAATTTCTGGTAAAGAAAGCAACAACGCTGATGGGACAACGGAGTCTCTTTTATATACTTTTTTCTAACTCTCTAATTGTAAGTAAAAATTAATTTTGTTGTTTCTTAATTATAAAAAACAGCCTAATAGATATTAAAAAATCCGTTAGCCATTATGTGAGTCATCAGTCTATACTTGCCAAGGACACATGTGCATATATGGCAACGTTACTTTTAAAAAGTAACGAGTAAAAGTACAAGTATTTTTAAAAAAAGTAACGAGTAAAAAGTAAAAAGTTCTTATTTTAAAAAGTAACGAGTAAAAAGTACAAGTAAAAGTACAAGTACTAANACGTTTTATTCTTTTTTCATTTTAAAAAATGGAATCTTCTTCTATTTTTGGAAGCAATATACCAATAAAAATATATTTATCGTAAAATACAGTCAAGAATTCCTTTTTACATAAGAAAATATTTTAATATTTCATTTATATGAGTGAAACCTTAAATTAAAGAAGAATGTATGGATTTTATTCTTCAAACGGTGGCACATTCAAATAATGCTGTATGGAATCCTTGTTTTTTACCACATCAGTATTGTACGGCATATTGTTCAGTATCTTTTTCACCAAAATTTCCATTTTCTTTCCAGTTATATTGTACTAGAATAAAAGCACATATTTTAAAATGAATTTACAGCAAACTCTAAACAATTTGAAAAAAAATAAATAAATGAGTCTTTAATATTAATAGAAGCCAAATTAATAGACGCACTATAAGATTCTATGTTAAATCTTAACTATCAAGTTATACTATATAGCTTTATAACTTTTATGTGACTTAAACCGGTTTGTACTTCTTTATGTTCGTATATCAATGGGTTAGGAGATATATAATATAAATTCGACGCTTTGATAAATACGATGATATATTATATAAATATGGAATATTTATTATACCAGGTATTATATTATTACATTACAATAGTTAGATCCAATTATTAGACCTACTGTAGTTTTTAAATAATTAATAATGTTTTGATTTTAAATGCAATAATTTTAAATAATGTTTTGCATTAGTTTATATGCAATGCTTTTATATTTAAACATACATGTAATAGGTTTTTATTCAGGAGATTTTTTGTATACTTCATGTTTGTACTTATTTTTAAAGTATTGCTATACAATGCTAACAAATTGATACACGTATGTAAACAAGTGCAAACTGGTTTCAGCCGCTTAAAAACAATGAAGCTGTATAGTATTACCCGATAATTAAGATTTTACATAGAATCTTAAAGTGCGTCTAATAATTTAGCTAGGGATTTTAATTGTTTAATTTGAAAACCTTAAAAATAAATTTTCATATTTAATAACTTATTAAGTCTTTATGTTATTTTAAAAATTTATAAATTAAAAATATTCTTACTGGTATATCTTGAACCTCCATGATAAGCCCTGGAATGTGTTCACTTGTCAACTCTTCTTCTACTTTCTCCCGAACTTTCTTCAATAATTCATCATTGAATTTGAATCCAGTTTTTAGTTGCAAAAACAAAACAGCTCTCTCAGTACCATTTTTGCTATACTGAGACACGCAAAGGCTATCGTGCACTTCAGGAAGACGATTCACTAAATTGAAAGATCGTATAAATATTAATTTAAAGAGCACTAGTTCATGAAACCGAGTTTTAAAAGTACTGGGAAAAACATACGAGAAATTTTTTTTCCCACAAAGAAACATCGCACATAATAAATATTTGAATTGTTGTGAATTTAAAAATATACACCGAAGCCTCATTTAATCGAATCCCATCGTGAAATAAAAAAATCCAAATATATGTACGATGGACCATGGAGAAATAATGAACAAGTTGGAAGTTATATTCACAGTCAACTGATGGGAGGGTATGGAACAATTACTTTATAATTAAACATAAGTTCTAAAACCATGTAGTTTTACTCCGTTGTAGTTTTAAAACCAGGTTGTTTTACTACAGATATTGCTTTAAAATTTTGAGGCTTAAGATCTCCTTGAGTTCTTTATAAAGGTGCATTCATCGTCTTTATTCTCCCGTGTGTATTAAACAATGAACAAGTTGGAAGTTATATTCGCAGTCAACTGATGGTAGGGTATGGAACAATTACTTTATAATTAAACATTAGTTCTAACACCATGTAGTTTTACTACGTTGTAGCTTGAAAACTATGCTGTTTTACTACATTGTATTTCTGAAACCAAGTAGTTTTTCTACAGAGATCGCTTTGAAATTTCAAGGCTTAAGATCTCCTTGAGTTCTTTATAAAGGTGCATTCATCGTCTTTTATCACCCGTGTGTATTAAACAGAGAACAAGTTAGAAGTTATACTCACAGTCAACTGATGGTAGGGTATGGAACAATTACTTTATACTTAAACATTAGTTCTAACACCATGTAGTTTTACTACGTTGTAGCTTGAAAACTATACTGTTTTACTGCATTGTATTTCTGAAACCAAGTAGTTTTTCTACAGAGATCGATTTGAAATTACGAGGCTTAAGATCTCCTTGAGTTTTTTTATAAAGGTGAATTCATCGTCTTTTATCTCCCGTGTGTATTAAACAATGAACAAGTTGGAAGTTATATTCACAATCAACTGATGGTAGGGTATGGAACAATTACTTTATAATTAAACATTAGATCTAACACTATGTAGTTTTACTACGTTGTAGTTTAAAAACTATGCTGTTTTACTATGTTGTAGTTCTAACACCATGTAGTTTTACTACGTTGTAGCTCTAAGACCATGTAGTTATACTACAGATATCGCTTTAAAATTTCAAGGCATAAGATCTCCTTGAGTTCTTTACAAAGGCGCATTCATCGTCTTTTATCTCCCCTGTGTATTAAACAATGAACTAATTGGAAGTTATATTCAAAGTCAACTGATTGTAGGGTATGGAACAATTACTTTATAATTAAACATTAGATCTAACACCATGTAGTTTTACTACGTTGTAGTTTAAAAACTATGCTGTTTTACTATGTTGTAGTTCTAACACTATGTAGTTTTACTACGTTGCAGCTCTAAGACCATGTAGTTATACTACAGAGATCGCTTTAAAATTTCAAGGCTTAAGATCTCCTTGAGTTCTTTATACAGGTGCATTCATCGTCCTTTATCTCCCGTGTGTATTAAACAATGAACTAATTGGAAGTTATATTCAAAGTCAACTGATGGTAGGGTATGGAACAATTACTTTATAGGGAAATATTAGTTCTAAAACCATGTAGTTTTACTACGTTGTAGTTCTAAAACCATGTAGTTTTAGTACAGAGATCGCTTTAAAATTTTAAGCCTTAAGTTCTCCTTGAGTTCTTTATAAAGGTAACTGCATCATCTTTTATCTCCCGTGTGTATTAGATCTAAACTTAAAGCCTTGTAATCACGAAACATATATACTAATACACTCGTTGCCATGAAAATTCACGCACCAAGAATGAGTTGTCAGAATACAACGAAATTTTACACGCATAAGTACTATGTTGATCTAAGTAGATGATTAAAAAATTAAAGCTAACTGATCATTTATTACTGGAAAAATAAGAATGAATGCAGGTTTTAGTACACCGTCGGGCCATTTCCAGCAGGAATGTATGATACGAACGGCCAAGTATTGAGGCATAAAAGTCCCTTACGAAGTTCTACTACTTTATGCTCCACAGTAGCTGTAAATATGACTCTAACTCGACTAATTTTTGAAGATCTTCGTTAAAACTAATTAAAGCTAACTGATCATTTATTACTGAAAAAATACGAATGAATGCAGGTTTTAGTACAACGTCGGGCCATTTCCAGCAGGAATGTATGATACGAATGGCCAAGTATTCAATCATAAAAGCCCCTTACGAAGTTCTGCTACTTTATGCTCCTCAGTAGCTGTAAATATGTCTCTAACTCGACTAATTTCTGAAGATCTTCGTTAAAACTAATTAAAGCTAACTGATCATTTATTACTGGAAAAATAAGAAAGAATGCAGGTTTTAGTACACCGTCGGGCCATTTCCAACAGGAATGTATGATGCGAATGGCCAAGTATTGAGGCATAAAAGTCCCTTACGAAGTTCTGCTACTTTATGCTCCTCAGTAGCTGTGAATATGTCTCTAACTCGATTAATTTCTGAAGATTTTCGTTAAAACTAATCAAAGCTAACTGATCATTTATTACTGGAAAAATAAGAATGAATGCAGGTTTTAGTACAACGTCGGGCCATTTCCAGCAGGAATGTATGATACGAATGGCCAAGTATTCAGGCATAAAAGTCCCTTGCGAAGTTCTGCTACTTTATGCTCCTCAGTAGCTGTGAATATGTCTCTAACTCGATTAATTTCTGAAGATTTTCGTTAAAACTAATCAAAGCTAACTGATCATTTATTACTGGAAAAATAAGAATGAATGCAGGTTTTAGTACAACGTCGGGCCATTTCCAGCAGGAATGTATGATACGAATGGCCAAGTATTCAGGCATAAAAGTCCCTTGCGAAGTTCTGCTACTTTATGCTCCTCAGTAGCTGTAAATATGACTCTAACTCGACTAAATTCTGAAGATCTTCGTTAAAACTAATTAAAGCTAACTGATCATTTATTACTGGAAAAATAAGAATGAATGCAGGTTTTAGTACACCGTCGGGCCATTTCCAGCAGGAATGTATGATACGAATGGCCAAGTATTCAGGCATAAAAGTCCCTTACGAAGTTCTACTACTTTATGCTCCACAGTAGCTGTAAATATGACTCTAACTCGACTAATTTTTGAAGATCTTCGTTAAAACTAATTAAAGCTAACTGATCATTTATTACTGGAAAAATAAGAATGAATGCAGGTTTTAGTACAACGTCGGGCCATTTCCAGCAGGAATGTATGATACGAATGGCCAAGTATTCAGGCATAAAAGTCCCTTACGAAGTTCTGCTACTTTATGCTCC